TTTTTTTTGATCGATTGTTTGGGCGATCATGCTCACTTTAGTGAAATATAAGGGAATCAAGTTTCTGATGTGTTCGCGAAATTTTGGTTATTTTTTGTTCATTTACGCCAACTTTGATTTCGAAATAACTTTTTTTTTTTTTCAATTCAGAAACCAGCACAACGAAGAATGAACTTAAGAAGGAAACAACGGCCCAGGGTATGGGCAGCAAAAAGCAGGAAACAAAAATGGTTGACGAAAATGGCGGTGATGAGCACTCTGTTCTAGATGACCTTCCAGCAACACCCAACGACACCTGCAGACTGTTTGATCCGGCAAAGTTTGTTATCTATAATTCATTTTTGTATCTTAAAATAGAGGCCATTCTTATGCCTGTACTACGATGTGGGGGAGGGGAAGGGGGAGGGGCACGTGTGCAGCAATTTTTGATATAGATACACATTGATGTGGCCTCCTCCCTGTTGCCCGATTAATGTGCTTTTCTTGTTTCTACTGTTACTGACTTTTCATCGAATAGCATATTTCCCGCTATCAAAATTTAGCGCTTTTAAATCACTTTTTTCAACGTATTTACCAGTCCCAAGTTGATATTGGTGTTCGCTTTGGTGAAGTTTATTCTGTTTCGCTCAGTTTTTCGCCTTCTTTCCACGCCAGCACACAGCTGCTGCTCTGCCTTCACCACACTCAAATTGGGCTGGGAAGTAGACAGAACCTGTCCAGTTTCCGGACGGACTTCTCAGGGTTCGCGCCACATTGTACACTTACCACTGAACAGTTTTCTACATAATCTTTCGGCGTGGCTGTACGTGCTCCTCTCTGTAACTTTTTCCCTGTCACACCGACGGGGTATTCCGTTTGCTCGTCCTTTTAACGGCATTTCTAGAAGGGGAAAAGCCACTGGCGGATCCGGAGGGTCTTTCGCGACACAGATGGCAGTGCTAAAAGTGAAGAAAACAGACTTCAACATTGCTCGTCGCACTCCCCCTCCCAAGACCTCCACTTTCATTCCCTCTTGCCCACTCTCCCCATCCC